CTTCGACATTGAAAAAGCTTATGATAAGGCATGGAGATACGGTATACTCCGGGATCTTCACGAGAGTGGCTTGCGCGGCAACCTACCAATTTTCATTCAGAATTTCTTGAACAGCTAGAACTTTTCAAGTAAGGATTGGCTCTGTTTTTTCAGATGTTTTTCAACAGGAAGAGGGTGTGCCTCAAGGCTGTGTGCTTAGTGGTAACGCCTGTTCAGTTTTAAAAATAAACTGTGTACTAAAAGAACTTCCTCCCACCATCTTGGGATCTCTATATGTTGATGATCTTACAGATTAGCTGTCGAGGAGCAGACATGAGACGTAGAGAGGCAATTGCAGATGGCTCTGAATAAGATCCAAGAATGGTCAAAAAACAGGGATTTACTTTTTCCAAACAGAAAAACTGTGTGTGTGCACTTTTGTAGGAAGCGAGGTCTCCATCCTGAGCCTGAGTTATATCTGAATGGGTACAATTATTCCAGTTACGCCCGAAGTAAAATTTTTTAGGAGTGACGTTCGACCGAAAAATTGACTTTCCTTTCTCATGTTTTAAACCTGAGAAAGAAGTGTCTAAGAACACTAAATATTTTAAAAGTGTTAGCAAACACCTCCTGGGTGCAGAGCGTTGCTCCATGCTTCGCATTTACAGAGCGCTTGTCCGCTCTAAACTGGACTATGGCTCAGTTGTTTATAGATCCGCTCAGTCATGAGTATTGTTAAAACTGGATCCTGTTCACCATCAAGCTCTGCAAATTTGTTCAGGAGCTTTCAGGACCTCTCCCGTCCAGAGTCTGTACGTTGAATGTAACGAACCGTCACTTTATCTGAGGGGTGAGCAATTGTCCCTCTTTCAATATTTTAATATTCTAACCCAAGCTGAACATCCCAATAAGCTGTGCTTACTTCGATGAATGTGTGTAACGCTTTATTTGAAACGCGTCCATCCTGCGTTCCTGCCTTTCCTTTAAGAGTTCGCCCTGTCATTGAGGAACATTCCCTCTCTGATATGCGCCCCCAAGCAGTACAGAATTTTGAAATTCCACCTTGGGAAAATTCACGGATTCAGCTTCTTGATGTTTCAAACATCACGTGAAGCCGAGCACTAACGAGATCGTTTACAGACAACTCTTGCTGAGCACAGGCAGAAACAAAATATAGCAGTTATTATCCGATTTACACAGATGGATCAAAGTCAAATGATCATGTCGGGATGGCTTTTGTATTTGAAGATTACATTGAGGGCAGATGCCTGCACCATGCTTGCTCAGTCATAATATCTGAATTAACTGCAATATATTATGATCTTTTGTACATCTCGAAGCTCTGCCACAAAAAGTTCGTAGTTTATACAGACTCGTATAGTGCTCTGAAATCTTTGGAAGCTTTTCCCAACACTCAGAATCCTGTGGTAGTCGATGTTCTCAAAATTCATATAAACTTAACGATTCGAGGATATGAAGTCCTGTACTGCTGGGTTCCTGGACATGCTGGAAATAAAGGGGAAATGAGCTTGCAGATATCGCAGCCAAATCTACTGTTCAACTGTCTAGTCGCCTTGTCCCTTTTAGAGATATTTGCTGTGTCATCAAGGGAAAGGTCCGAAAAAAATGGCAACAAATTTGGGATGTTCAGCTTCAAAACAAGTTAAGACAAGTAAAACCTAGAATTGAGCATTGGGAATCTACCAAAAATCGTAAGGAGGAAGTTCTTTTGACTCGCCTCAGAATTGGTCACACATAACTACCTTTTAAAAGCTGAGAATGAGCCTGTGTGTTTTAATTGTAATGTTTGTTTATCTGTTCGTCATATTTTAATTGAGTGTCCATGTTTTAATAGTCTTCGCCAGAAATATTTTAATAGCTGTGACTTGCCTCTCGACCGTTTAATCGGAAGAGAGGTCAATTGTAATTTATTTTATTATTTGAAAGAAACTGGCTTTTATCACCTAATGTAATTTGTTTTAAACATTGTATCTTAAATTTTAAATGTGTGGTTTTTAACTTGTTCTTATATGACTTCATCCTCTGGATTGGATACATTTGTCTACTTGTTTTTTATTTATTGTATTTTAATTTCATCAATTGTACTCACCCCATCTCGTGTTTGGCGCACTATAATCATCTTTGGTTTTGCGCCATAATCTCTCACTCACTCTCTCTTTGCGTAGAATGCTGATCCATAATGAATAGGAAACTTGGCAGTCGAGGCAGATTAAATTCCATTTTTATTTAACTTCACATTTGTGGCCGCAATTTACTTGACACTCTAATCGTGCTTATTCAAGAACATTTACATTTTTGATAGTATTGCGATAGGAAGAAAAGCATACCGAAATAACATCCAAGCAGTAGAAAAGGTAGAAGCGAAGTGCGTATTTACCCAGTTTTGAAAGCTTACGAAGAGAAAAGTTTTGGTTTAGGTTAGAAAAGTTTCACTTCTCAAAATTCTCAGTTTAGGTTCCGAATTAGTTACGTAATCAGCGCTACGCAAGCCATGTGACACAGATCAATTTAGAAACTGCACATCTCTATCCCTTGGCACTCTGTCGCCTGCGAGAGTCGGGGATTCAGATTTCCTGCGGGTGAACATTGGTTAGGCCAATTGCAAGGATTATTGCATTTGAAAGCCTTATCACTAAACCTTGAGTGATAATAACATAAACTTTCATTTCCGCTATTACGCCTATTAATAGAATTACTTCTAGAGCGAGATCTGAACTGTTGACGTCTAGAATAATGTCTTTTATTCAGTTCCCTAACTTCTAGGGATGACTCTGAAATCTGCTTGTAGTTTAACTAACACATTCTCATCTCTAGAGCAAGCTACAGCGGCATTCTTATGTGAGGTGGATTTTATTTCCCACATTTTTGGGGCTATTTGGCTAAATCAAATCGCCGCTGTTGGATAAAATGCTCGAGATTGCCGTAGGTAATCTTTGAAGCCAGGGAGTTTTAAGAAAAGCTTCACCTACCTTATCTGAAGCTAAATTCTTCATTTCACCTAACAACTGTGAAGGTTTTCTATTACCCAATTCCACCTCAGTTAATAATTTTGGTGTCTTTTGCGTTTCGGTTTTGGCAAAGATGGAAATTAGTCTGTCTTTAATAGCCACGTACTTGTCGTTCCTTGGAGGATTGATCAGAAGGATTCCTTGGAGGATATTTCAACGAATATTCGCTTCGTCAAGGGAAAAGAATACGTTGTTGCAGATGCTCTTTCCGAAATTTCAATACCCTCTCCACACCATCTCCGACTCATTACGCAACTATTGCATAATTTCAAGCGGATAAAGAGTTAACAATTCTAAAAAACAACCCAAAGCTGAGAATGGCTCAGATTTCCATTCCAGGTACCGACAAATCGATTCATTGTGATATCTTCACCAATCATCGATTTATTGTGATACCTCCCATACATTCCCTGAAACATTCGCCGACAGATATTTTCTTCTATTTATACCTTATCTCATACAGGGATTAGAAGCACAAGAAAATTAATTAAGAAAAGATTCATATGGCCAGATATCAATAAAGATTGTCAGTTATGGTGAAGGGAATTCATAGAATGCCAACGATCTAAGGTTCAATGACATACAAAATCAGCTCTTATGGACTTCAAGATTCCCCTTGAACGTTTTCAACACGTTCACATTGATATTGTTGGACCCTCGCTATCATGTCAGATACTTACTAACGATGGTTGATCGTTTTTCAAGATGGGTTTGAAGCCCTTCCTATGGCGGATCAATTAGCAGAAACAATTGCAAAGAGGATGATCTCAACCTGGATTTCTCGTTTTGGAATACTACAGCCTATAACATCTGATCAAGGATGTCAGGTTGAAAGTCAACTCTTCTCATCTTTGAGCAAATACTTCAGTTTTCAAAAATCCAGAATAGCAGCATACCATCCACAATCGAACGGATTAATTGAGCGACAACACAGGATTATGAAGGCAAGCTTCATATGTCATTTATTCATATGTCATTTATAACAAAGCAAATCTTGGGTAGACGCTTTGCCTTTGGTTCTTCTCGGATTACTCTCTGCACTGAAAGAAGATATAGGATACTCTTCAGCCGAGCTTCTTTACGGAAGTTCCCTTTGATTACCTGGAAAATTCGTTACCACGATCCCTAATGTTACACACTCGGAGTTCATGCAAAGGCTACAAATTATTATCTGTAGCATAATACCTTCTGCAAAGACTACCCATGGCAATACAGCTGAATTCGTTTCAAAACACCTTTTCAATTGCTGCAATGTTTTCATCTGCAATAACATGGCCACTTCATCTTTGCAACCAGTTTATCTTGAGCCTTATGTTGTCAAACACCGAGCACCAAAATATTTTAACATTGAAGTTGATGGAATTCTCGAAAGAATTTCAATTGATAGACTGAAACCATGTTTTACCATAAAAGATGAGCAGCCTCTTGAAACTCACAGGGACATGAATTATCTAGATCTGCACACACAGTGCGAACCTCGGAGGTTCACACTGTGTGTGCAGTGTTCGGAGAAAATTTCGCCGTATACACTATACCACACGCAGTGGGAGGAATGTTAGGTTTCCACCCCATTTAAAGGATTATGTCTGCTAATCGTTTTCACTGGGAAGGGAAGTATGTAGCGTCCTCTGCTTTTCCTCTTCATCTTATCTTTAATTTCTGTACATTTTAATTTTCATAAGATGGCCTAGCAACAACTGGTAATTTTATTGATTTGATTTCATGAAAAATAAGCGAGTTGTGGGTTTCCCCCCCTTAAGTTTTCGTGAAATCTAATTTTGTTCATTTAAAGAGTTAAAAGTTTATTACGGGTAAAAGATTAACGTAAAATATCCACTTCAGATTCATACTACAGAATGTATTTTATTGCTTTATTCATCAGAACAAGAAAACTCTCATGCCAATTTCAGACGTAATTCTGTCTATAGGAACTAACACGTTATTTGAAAGTTTCGTGAATAAATATCATTGAGTCATGGAAAGAAGACTTACATTGGGTTATCGCAGTGTCTTTGCGATAGGCTGACTCCAGCTCCACAGGACCTGGAACACTGGGACCATGGCCCCCACTCTCCCCATTCGCCGTCAATGGCTTCGGGTCTTTCTCCGATTTCGGTACAGCGTCCCATTTGACACCACTGAAAAATAATTCACTGCTGTAAGAATTCATTTTTTTTAATAATTATTTAGAATATGCCAGAACATATATTTATCCTTCTAATGAGCACATCGACTTCTATGTTCGATTTACGTTTAAGATATAATTAAATGCCCAGTTTTAAGAATTCTTCGTTATTCGTTACATACTATATAGATTAGGGGAATTCTGAATGTTTGGAATTTCCCTTAAAATTAAGTTTTTAATGTTTTAATGTGAAGAATTCCTTTCTACTGCAGGGTGCCCAGGGTTGGGGTTTTGTTTGAACCCTTTTCCACTTTATTCTCCGTTTGGTTAGAGTTTTCTAATTCGTAATCCAACCATCGAAGCCAGTACCTTTCTCCAACAAGTTTCCTCTTTGGTTTGTAATTTGAAATTTTAAACGTTATAGAAGCACAAATCATTAGTCAAATGTGCTTAGCAAATTTCGCGCAGTTAATTTTAATGTATTTGATATCATCGTTCTGTTAATATATAATTTATGTAATCTTTATTATGTCTATGTCGCCACAAGCCACCAATAGAAATCAGCGGCTTTTGGATTCTTGGTTTTTTTTCCTCACGACTTTCTATTCAAAAACAGCAAAATTGTTTATTAGGAATTTCATTCAAGATCAGCAAAATGAGGTTTTTTTACTCATAACAGGCTAACTCTAGTGAACCAGTAGTGACTCCGGTAATTCAGTCCAAGTTTCAGAGCCATGCATAAGTATGGCTAATCACGGTCTATTTTTATAGACACTTAAACTACAACACCGTGAAAGAGTTGTTGGAAGTGAATGAAATTTATTCCACATATGCTGATAATGGTACAAAAAAAATGATCAAATTTACAATATAGAACTAACATCGGAAATCAGTACTTTGTGTCTGTGCCACGCCGTGCGATGAGAGCCTGTATACATCGTGGCATTGAATCATACAGGTTCTGAATGTAATCCTGGGGAATGGCATTCCATATGGCGCCTAAGTTCAGTCTTAGTCTGTGCCCCAGCAGCTGTACGAGCGAGTCGCCGACCAATGAAATTCTAGACATGCTCAATGGGCCACATATCTGGGTAAAAGCAGTATCACTGTTGAGGTTTCCCGCAATCTGCACTAGATGGGATCGACAGTTATACCCAATAGCTCCCCAGACGTTTGTGTGATATGACGCTGGATAACACTGTGGGAGCAGACGATCCCCTCTGTAAGATCTGATGCGTACTTCTCCATTATTGTACTCCATAGTGTAGCGAGATCCGTCGGAGTAAACACCTTGTTGCCACAGGGCACGCCACGATCTGTGTTGCCGTGCTGATTGAAGTCGGAGGCGTCTGTGATTCAACGATAGGGAAATCCTGAGAGGAACCCTGTCACGCAGTTCATGCTGCAGCAGACGGCAACGAACCGTGAAGCTAGACAACACCTATAGCCGTACTGCAAAGTTGTGCTAACACACGACAGGACACTGTACGATCCGTCACAGCCATGCAGATAAGGCGTCTGTCGTCCCGTGCCGTTGCGCTACTACGTACCCCACTGCCAGGATTTCACCTTATTTGATTCTCCTATGTCCATTTTTTCCAAAGCCGCGTCATTGTTGTGGCATTGCGCTGCGTGCGGGCTACGATTGCTCGATACGAAAGTCAAACTCTTTCACCCAGTGCCGCCCTAACCACAGGGCTAAATGGGCTATAGCCCCAGGGCGCAAGCCTTTTGAGGCGGCAATTTTTTATTTGCGATATAGTAAAAATTTATTTTTCACTTTATTAGTTTTTACTTATTTTTAAATTAAAACACTTCTTAAATATTAAACTGATTTTTTATTCTAACTAACTAGACAACCATGGAACATAAACGAAAAAAATTATCTGGTTCCGCCAACCGTAAATTAAAAGATGAGCAACACAAAGGGAAAATAAAAATTCAACAAACCAACACAATAATGCCCAGCAATCAAATGTGAAAGAAAAGAAGAGGACCAGAAACAACAAACATGGAACAGCCACAGCCAGAAGATCAAGAAGAGAATATTTAGAGAAGATGAACTTAGTAATATGTTGAGTGTTAATTATACTGATCCAGCATTATAGGGAAGATTAAGCAAAGATAAAATTATAGATATAATGAAGAACATATCTAACGTAGAGGTAGACATTCAAGAACTAGACTTTTCTGCATCTAAGTGGTCTACAAATCACAGAGCAAGTATGCTACAAAAATGATATTTTATAGACGTTTACAAAACGGAAAACAACAAAAAAAAAAAAAAAAACTGGCTTTTTATACTCAAATACTTCAGGAAAAGTATATTGCATCCCTTGCAAAGTGTTTGGTAGTGCCAATAATCCATTTAGTGCAGGTTTTAACAATTGGAAACACAGTGAAAAAATTTCGGACCATGAAAATTCAGCCTTCATAAAGAAAACACCTTATAATTGTGAACAGATCTACAGAAAAAGGGAATATTTCAAAATTATTCTATTATATCAATGGAAAAAATACGAATTACTGGAAAAATATTTTAGAACGTATCATCGAAGTCATAAAATTTTTAAGTTCAAGGGGTTTGGCTTTTAGGGAAGAAATCAAACTATTGGTGATAAACATAATGGGAATTATTTAGGGTGCTTAGAACTTTTAGCAAAATTTGACCCTATTTTTGTAACAACACATATTTAATATTTTGCAAATAAGGTACTGGGAATATTTCTTATTTATCTATCTGCAATATTTGTGAAGTTTCTAAAATATTTGGGCAGAAATGTTTAGATGTTTTATTTATCACGGAACTAAAGAGGCAAAATATTACTCTATTATAGTAGACTCGACGCCCGATATTTCCCATATGGATCAATTAACCATTGTGTAAGATATGTCAATAAAATGGAACACCCGTGAAAGGTTTTTAAAATTTTTTTGGAGAATACGGGCCATAAGAGCTCATAAATGCAAGACTGTATTTTAAAGCTATTATCTGATTTAGATATTAGTTTGGAAGATTGTAGAGGACATCTTATGATAATGCCTCTAATATGTCGGGTATATATAATGGCCTCCAAGCACGCATTAAATCTAGAAAATCTTGCCATTTCGTGCCCTGTGCGGCACATTCTTTAAATTTATTGGACAATCAGCAGCTGAATGCTGCATACAGCAACTAAATTGTTTTGTTTTCTACAAAACTTATACAATTTCTTTGCCGCATCACATCAAGATGGGAAATTTAAAAAATACGCTAACAGCAAAAAAAAAGTTCCCAAAAAATTAGGCGACACTCGTTGGTCAGCAAGAGCTGATCAGTGAAGAGTAGTGGTTTCGGGCTATGAAAATTTTAAAAATGCTTAACTAAACTTTCCGAAGATAATTTTCAAAAGCCTGCAACAAAAGTTGAAGCCCAGGGGTTGTTAAATGAGTTCAACTCATTGGAAACTGCTATTATGAATAGCAATTTTGGAGTGAAATATTGGAAACCATCGATAAACTATATCGCTTCAAAAAGTTGATATTACAATTGATGCATTGTTTTCAATATATGCTTCTTTAGAAAAATTTGTACAATCGAAACGAAATATGATTCGTTTAACCTTTACAAATCAGAAGGTATAAATTATCTGGCTGTTATGAATACAAACGGTTACGGAAAGGAAAAAGACAGTTCAACGAAATACGTCGGAAGAAGTGCAACTTGATGCAAATGACGAATTCCGCATAACATATTATGCTATTATTGATAAAATTCTAGCAGAAGTACAAAGAGAAATGTGCATATGTTGACATTTATTCAACATTTGGGTTCTAGTTAATTTAAAAAATATAAATGAAGACATAATTAGAAAATGCTGCAAAGTTGTGCAAAATATATCAGAATGATTTAGAAAACAACTTTATTGAAGAATGCCTACATTTTAAACATGTGAATTTATTGGAAAATACCGAAAAATATCTATCGCAGAACTAAGTTTAAAGACAATATCGAGTTAAAATTTAATCTACATTTCCAAACGTAACCACAGCACTGCGCATATTTTTAAGTATCGCCCAAACAAACTGCAGTAGCGAAAGATCATTTTCAGCAATCAAAAGAATAAAAATTACTTACGATCTTCTTTGGGACAGAGTAACTCATGATTTAAGTATTTGTCTATTGAAAGAGATTTTTTGAAAATTTTTTAAATACTAGTAATATTATTGATCATTTGCCAAAGAAAAGCTAGGAAAGTAAATAAATAAGTTTTGTTTTAGATTAAGGTGTGTTTTTGTTCTTAAATGGTTTTTTTATTTAATTAAATTTTATTTTGTTTATGTTATCACTGATGGAGAATCATATAATAGTTCCGATCAAGTTCTAAGGATTAGACTAAAACTGATCGGAACTGTCATTATTGAGATAATCCCCTCAAATCTGGGTAAACATTTATACCCATCTTTTAAATAAGTGACTTTAAAAAAGTTACAATAAAGATAACAGTTTTTATAAAAGTAATAAATAGTTTTTTTTCTAGTTCTGTCACTTTTGTTTTGTATAACTTTTCCGACTCCCATTTGCCATTCTGTGTATTTTCTTAGGAAGAAGGGCGCATTATTTTTAGTAGCCCATGGGCGCCGAATTCCTTAAGACGGCCCTGCTTTCACCCATACCGACGATGCGGCCTCCTTCGAACTCCGTTAGTTGTTGGTATGGCACGCGGCAAGAAAGTTCATTATTTTACGGATACGAAATTAGTTTGTTTTCAAACCGAGTAATTTTACTTTTAGTTTTCTATTTGCTTTATATGTTTAAATGTTATTATGGGTATATTTTTGGTGAGCTAATCATCCCTTTTTTAAACTTTGATCATCCGCATTTGGCATGGTGGCGCCATCTATCCATAACGTTTCAAATTATAATTTAAAGAAATGTTCAGTTGTAATTGAATATTTATTTTATTGTGCTTAAGCAAAGGCCTGAGAGGTAAATTTTAGTACCTTTTATCCAGCAGTATTTTATTTATCCAGCAGTATATGACTACCAGATTAGTAATTATATTCTACCATATTTACACAAATGTTTCTGAATAAAAATATATTTTAAATATATTAAACAGTACAATACTTACAATTCTTAGCACTGGTTCATGTAAATAGACTCGTCAAAGCTATATCATGAACTCTTAACTTTATTTGAAATTTCTTTCAATTTACACAAAAAATTTTGCATGCTAAACTCTGTTTCTCCCTTTAAATATATGTTTTCGAGCCAGTAATATAAACTTTAAGCATTTACTCCCTTATAAGTTTCAGGTTTCTTAGTTGTAACACGAATATTTCTACATTCCTCGTTTTGTTTTCTGTAAGTATACTGTAGTTAACACAAAGAGAAATAGATGGCGCCACAACTATGACTTTACAAATAAATTCTAATGCTGATACGATAGTCGAAGATAAATTAGGAATTGCGGCGTTGTATTAACAATCGAAATTTCCGGCATAAAACTGATTTCAAACACTATTTCATTATTATTTGTTAATAAAAGCATTAAAGCACGAAAGATCTAATGCCAAATTTATATTTACTTGTATGTTTTTTTAAATTCTTAATTTAGATTTACTCGTATTATAACTGGAATTAAAACTGTTTTTCAGCTTGCTTTAGGCCAAAATTAGTTTTTTTTTTTTTTTTCCCATACATTTGTTTTATAGGATAGTAGATCAACAGATTAAAGGTAAATTCTGAATAACGCCAACCGCATGTTTATATATTTTTCCATATATTGGTTTTTTAACTTTTTGCCGTTTGCTTGCTTTCAGAGTTACCGTTTCAAGCATAAAATAGTTCAGATATTAAAGCTCAAATACCTACTAAAGTCGCTGAACACTGGTAGTTTGGTCCGAGGTTCGAATCCCGCGAACGAGCTGGCTGCATAGGCGTTTTCGTGGTTTTCCCCATTTGTAACGTGTATAAGAGCCAGTTTCCCTTAGAAAGTCCTCCACGAAGGCATCCCTCCCCTTAGGCAGATAGCCCTCGAGGCTTTGCCATAATCACATACACCACACCATCAAATACCTACAAAAGGTCAGTTTAATGTATCTAGAATTTTAAATGAAATACTTTCAGTTTAAATTAATTTATAGAGACTAGAGGAAAATATCTTGTAGCCACTCAGTTAACCGACAATATCAAAATAACGAATTTTGAAGCTTTGAATTTAAATACAAAGGTATTATAGATCCGAAGAGATGCTTGAGACAAAATATGCAATCTGAAGACTTAAATGTGGAAAACACTTGTGTTATGCTTTTGCCACCCAATGTTACAAATCGTTTGAAGAAGAGGTGCATGATTTTTTCAGAGACAATTACTTAGGCAGAGGCCAGATTTACTCTTCCTCTTGCTTGGAATGCTACAAAGGCATTACTTTACGTCGCTGCTGGCGTAAACTGGGTCCAATTATCATGTTTGTAGACGAACAATCAAACAGCAAAAATTGTCTTGGTTTTAAAGGCCCTGTTGTTATTATTAGAACACTATTTAGGATTTAAATACAAATGCGGTGGGTGAAACATGAACTTTTCAAGATGCTCGAACATCTTTAATGTTTGTTTGGCAATCGATTTCACCCTTTTCGCAAAGTTGCCGATTTAAAAATGCAAGATTGCCGATTTAAAAGCGTCTGTTTTTTTTCCTCGCAATCCTATTCGACATACGGTTATGTAACAACCAAGTGCCGGATACGTATGCCATCATCATACTTTTCAACAATCTCTTTTTTTCACTTTTATGATGATCCTAACCATTTTCTTCGTTGCTTGACTTGTCGCATTAATTTTGCTCATTGTTAATGAATTTACAAAATCTTTATGCGAAAAAAAAGCACAAAATCGTATGAAAATTTATATTTATAGCACGGACTGTTTACTAGTCGCAACAAGCGTATTAGCACTTATCGACAACCGTAGCATTGTCCATATATTGTGAGCAAAAGTAGTAATTCATCGAACTCGAGTCGTATTGCAAACAGATGCCGTATTCCGAACGAACGTTCGGTTCCAAATAGGATAACTATTCGTTAGTTGGACGTATTTCAAAGCAGACGTATGTCGAAGTAAAGCTGTACCTTGCAAAATTACTGAACAATACATATGGTCAATTTATCAAACAGCACGGTACGATCATTATAAGAGCATTTTTAAAGATATGAAGATATAAACACACATATTTTACAAATCGTTCGCAAATATTTATTACCATGTTCTACATTTTGTATTTCTTAATGTTGCTAACAGAACTATAGATTAAAAACAGAACGTTTTCAGTCTTGGAGAGTTCTTTGTTCTTGATAAAGAGGGACTTGTACCTCGAAATAGATTGAGTTATTGACTGAATCTATGCCAAATACAAGGTTGTTGCTGTCCTAATTTTATAGAATTATAGATTATTTCTTTTATAAAATTCTGTTCTTTTAAAAATTTAAGGCTTTTATCCTAAATGTAATAAAAATTAAATTAAAGTAATTAACATCAGATATTAATTAGCTTTAATAATTTTAATGACAACGGACCAGCGAATTTAGTTCTTGAAAAGTAGAACTTCTTTTGTATATGCACTAACATATACAAAAATGCTGTGGACAATGTGTTTCCAAATTTATGCGAATTTTCAACAGTTCCCCCCCCCTGACTCGAGAATTTTTTTTTTATCTTTTACTAACTTTTATTATAGGATGCCATCGGTGCAGGTTATATCTTGATTGATTAAAAGCTAATTGTATTAAAAAAGCTACAAAATTCTCCTTTATTGTATTTTAAATGACTTTAATTTAATAATGTTATTAAGTTAATTTTTATTTTATAATTTTCTTTTATTTCAAGAATTCATAATCATCATAATTCAGAAATGTGACTATGTTGAGAGTTCTTCGGCTGCTCCTTGAAAAAGACCAAAGAAATTTCAACAACAGTTTTACATTATGCTGTATTAATTATATTTTATTATTTTATTGAATTGTTTTTGTTACAATTTTATTGAACCGTTTATACATAGAGTCCATGTGGGCGGCATAAGTTAAATCTGTGGGGCTTCTCGATTACAAATGCATTTTAATCGAACTGAACACACAGCAAATACAAATACGACACACAAAATACAAAATGCAAGATACTAAATAGAAAACTGCTGATATCTTACATCTAGCTTTTAAATTTTAATTTTTAGTGGCAACTCTAAGAAGCATTCCTAATAAGTCTAAATATGATCAAACTGTATATTGCTCTGATTTATTGCTGAGCCAATTCATTTTTTGTCAGTTCCTACATACATATTTAAATGTCTGTGCGTGTATGTATACACATTCATATGTAGTATATATAGATAGATATAATGTAGATATAGATGGAGATAGATACATGAGCTATATTAAGATAACACATAAGATAGGTATTAAGACAGATAGATAGATAGATAATATAGAGAGACAGGCTGGAGAAAGAGAGAGACAGACAGATAAAACGTGTTAGAAACAAAACTATCAGAATTTTATTACATTTATTTTGTTATTTCCTGAGCACGAGCTAAATTTATAACTGTGCATTTAAAAGCGTATGGATACTACATGAATCAATTCGCTTTATAACTATTCACATAAATACACTGATAATTATAATATAAATATACAGAAATAAAGCCCAATTGTTTAGCAGTTGCAATAGCTTACCATGTTTCTATCGCAGAGCGTTCCTTCTGCAGCAGGTTCTAAGCGAGTAACACATTTATTGTCTTGTCGACACCAAAGCGTCTGGCATACATCCTGGGAAATAAAAAAGTATCCTGTAATATACACATAACAACAAAAGGGAAAAATTCTCTCAGAAGATAAAGGTAAAAATTATTTAAGTAGTACTCATGCTCACAACTTTGATAAATTGTGTATAGATTTTGAGTTCAATTATAATTTTATTTAATAAATCTTTAAAACTTAATAAATCTTTTAACAAAAGAAAGTACAAAAAAATATTCCGAGCTCCCGCGGACGTCTGGTACGTTTGGAAGCTTTATTTCAAGGTTCTTTTAAAGCAGAAGAATGTTGAGAAAGACTGCTAAGGTAGCGATAGTTTTGAGGATATATTCATGCAGTAAATTTAAAGTATTTAAAAGCGCATTAAAAATTAAAATAATCACTGAACACTAGAAAATCTAATTCAGAAGCACACAAGTTAGTTTACGCAATTTTAGAACAATTTCGGGGCCGTTTAATTATTGTTTAAAATGTAAAGGCCCCTTTTTTTTTAATGTTTTGATCTTAATGACAGAAAAGCTTTTCTTAAAATTTTCAGTGGTTATTGATTTGCATTTCTCTTCTACTATTTTTCCAGAGTTCATCCATAGTGGTAGGATTACGCATAGAAAGAGCTCTTTTCAAGAGACCAAAGACACAATAGTCCATAGGTGAAACGTCAGAAGACATTGCTCGGACAAGTTCATAAGGTATATACACCTGTATCAAACTTCATTTTTCCAAGTACTGCAGTGATACTTTTCAAAGCATGACTTGTTTCCCTCATGACTTGATGAAGTTTCACTCTTTGAAAGGTCACTGGAATAAAGAAATATAATTTCTTCTGTAAAAAATCGGATCTAAAATTTTCTCTTGATTGTGCATTGAATTAATTTTAACATTTTTTCCCCCAGTCTATACTTTTAATTTCCCACTGTAAGAGTTAATTATAAACTCCTTATTGAAGCTTTCTTTGCCATTGCCGTAACCAGGTTTGCGCATTTCTTTTTCCTTCATTTTGGTTAATAAATAAACCTTTTCTTGTTGCAGTCGTTTAGGTAAACCCATGCTTCGTCGAGAATCACAAAGTATTTCCATTCATTTCTTGCTAAGTAGTTTTCATACATGGTTCTACAAATTGTTTTGCGTTGAACCACATGCTTCGGCAAAAGCTGGGGAACATTGTGTTTTTTTTAACTTTTTTAAATAGTAAATTTTGGTTCATTATTTTATTTATCGTTGCTACAGATGTATTTAAAGATTTTGCAATTGATTTCTACGTGGACAGATTTTCTCTTGTTACCAACGATTTAACTGTATAAACATTAGAAACATTAGAAACAACAAACTTTCTGGGTATTCGTTTGGAATCTTCTTCTTCTTCAAAGGCCAGACAGCCCAGGATAAGCCTTTGCCTCCCTCAGAATCGAATTCCAAGCTCTTCTATCCCTGGCCATGGACATCCAATTGGTTATTTTTAAAATTCTTAAGTCTGTTTCCAAACAGTCGACCACCTAAGTTTAGGTCTCCCTCTTTTTCGGCCGAATGGTCTGGCCGATAAACTTTTAGTTATCGATTTTCATCACCTCTGCACAGGTCCTGCCCATTTTCTCTGATCCTTCTATATTTACTATATCTATTTCTTTGAAGCACTTCTAAGTCAGAGTTAGTTCTTCTCTCCAGATATTGTTGCGTTTTATTCCCCAAAAATCGGCTCAAAATTTTTCTTTCAAGACAGAATAATACTTTTAGCTTTTCTGTCGTCGCCCGGTTCAGCAGAGTATGGAATAAGAGTCGATTAAGCTTTTAATTAAAATCTTCGTTTTTGCTAATGAAGTTAGACTTCAAGGATTTTTTTAGACCTAAAACATCGGTTAGCATCTGTGACTCTACTCGGATCCGGGCATTAATCATGAAGTATTAATCCTGATCCTAATATTTAATGCTAACAGTTTCAAATTTGTAACCCAATTTCAAAATAGGGATTGCGTTATTACCACATGGCATGTATTTTGTTTATTTTTGGCTAGATGCATTTTGCTGCTGCAGCCTCTAGAGATGTAAGGTCTCTAAGTGACTGAGGCTGAGTATTAAGGACTGCGTGCACATGTCCAATCTCGTCAGCAAACGCAAAAATCTGAAAGATTTGTTAAAGATTGTTCCACAAGTATTATTTGGATTTTATGAGTTTTTGGAGGTCAGGGGTTAAAAGCAAGTAGGCCAGGCATCACCCTGCGAGCCACTTGAAACAACAATAGACCAGAAAGATTATTCTGGATTTTAACCCTAAGTTTTGTTTCACTAGAGTAGGGATAATTCAAATTTATAAGTTTTTCAGGTATTGCCAAATTCTCTCATAGCTTTCAATTAAATATTTTCTGTTATTGGAATAGTAGGCAGTCTTAATCAACAAAAGGTGGGGCGTTGCAAGCATATTCATTTGTTTTTTTTGTTTTTTTTGTTTTTTTTTTCGAAAATTTGCCTAATGTTAAAATTTGTTCGCTGTAGATCTTCCTTTGGCGGAAACCACATTGGTAATCACCCACAATATTTTGTATAAGTTACAAGTTACTAAAAAGTAATTTGGAAAATAGTTTGTAGAAAACAAAAGGAGACTGATTCCCTGTAGTTGGTACAAAGTCTCCTTTTTATGTATAGGACATGATGTTCAGTTTCCAATCTTCGGGTAAACGTCTTTGGTTCCAAAAACTGATTCGATGAGGTGATGTATTTTCTTAATTGTTTTGACCTGCAGCACGTTTAATAAGTTCTGAAGTAATTAGAGTCAAGGGCCTGGGGCCTTGTTATTTTTTAGCTTTTTAATTCCTTCTCTTAACTTCTGCCAAAGATGATGGCGGGATACTATCGGTGTTTACAGAGGTAGTTGGGTAGGTTGAAGAGACCCATCCCACATATGGTCATTCAACAAGTTACTGAAGTGCTCCTTCCACCTGTGGAAGTACCTCTTTTCTATCATTTAGGATGAGGATTGTTTTTGTCTCTACCGGCAGTAGTTCTAGGCTTAAAATCTTTGTGGCCAATATTAATTTTACGATAGAAAGCACGGCTTTCATTGGACCCCCTCAGATGTTCAGCATCCTTAAATAAGTCCTCGTGACAAAGTATTTTCTTAAGCCGGTGGATCTTCTCCTGTTTCCTAGATCTCTTATATTCCTCAACAGAGAGTCTTGAATGTCGCTTTTGGACCATAATTTTATAAGCAGCTCTTTTTGCCTGTGTTACAAGGAAGCTGTCATTATTAAACCAATCCCTTGATTTTTCCACATATCCAGTGTGTTGTCAGTTGAGCGTATGATCGAGTCTTTGAGCAAGCTCAACTTATTTTCCACGGTTTCCAGTTCAATCATGTTTTTAGATCTTAGTTCTCCCCTGAGTGAGGAATGGAAATTTCGTTCAATATCCTCAATTTTCAGCTTTTCACAATCAAACTTTTCCTGCCTTTCTCTCCGAATCTTTCGAGCGTTTGAATTGGAGTCTTCTTATTAAGTAGCAATGACTGACGGTTTTTCCCTTTTTGATTAGTAATATTGCTTATATTGACTTCGAAATTAGGTATATTAAAAACCTATTCTCTTCTATTATTTAAATAATATTATATATCGTTAATATTTCTTTTTATAATAATATTATGAATAGGAATATTTTTGTATATTAAAAAAATATTCTTATTCATAATTCAAAAACGTTGTGAGATGCATAAATGCATTTCACAACGTTTTTGAATTTTGAATAAGAATATTTTTTTCAGAAAGCGCAAAACACATCCTTCAATCCACAGCTTGCTTACATGCGACATTTTGGCAGAAGAATGAATTTAAAAGTAGCAGGCGATATTTCTCATTTGAAATAATTAAACTGTTGTTATAAATTTTTATTCCAAAACATTTGCCTTTTTTAATACTTTATTGAAATCGTTTTTAAGATATGTAAACACCCAGTGAACAGTGGAACCTTGGTTCACAAACAAATCGGTTCACGAACAAATTTTCCAAACGTAAAATGCTTTGGAGGACAAACAGTCTGTTGAGATACGAACACGTAAGCCGGAAACAAATAATAATATAAAGTATAATTAATACAGTGGAGGAAATGTCTTCAGAAGAAGAAGACGGATGTGAAAATGTTTTTAATTATTTTATTCGCGAAATTTGTACAGAGATTCCTAGCATATTACCACCCATAAAATGCTGTAATAAGCTGTTGTATAAACATTTGCAATGTAAACGTCCGTGTATGATTATGGCAAAGCCTCGAGGGCTATCTGCCTAAGGGTAGGGATGCCTTCGTGGAGGACTTTCTAAGGGAAACTGGTTCGTATACACGTTACACGTGGGAAACCACGAAAAACGCCCAGGCAAGCAGCCGTTCGCGGGTTCGAACCCGGACCGACTACCAGTGTTCGCGCTTTACCGCTCGCCGCTGTGGGCATTGCGATGTAAACTAAAAAAAAAACAAAAAAAAACAGAAAGACAGGATTTCCCTTTCAAGAAGTAACACTTTCCTACGTAGAGATACAATAAATTTAATTCCAATTTCCTTATTTTTTCATACATTTAGTATTGTGTTAAATATTGTGTATGTATTAGATATAATAAGTTCCTTTGTTTTTGCATTACGAACTTACATACAAAGTACTCTTTACTAAGAAATCGGTTCTCTGTAGAGGTTGATGGTAGGAAAAGAGGGGTGAGAGACCCTCGGACCTGTCCCCCCGTCCCCGATATAGGGGGTACACTCAGACTCTCGTGGTCAGAAATAAAAGAGCGACCCGAACGAATGCAAATACATAATACAAATACAACATATAACAAACACTCACGAACATACAAACAAAAATTAACACAAAGGGTAGCATGAGATCAAAATTCCAATTACATTTCGATTTGCAATGATAAATTTGAGGATATCTTGTTCAAAAATTAAAAGCACTTTGATATCAAAATTATCACTATATATAGCATTATCAATTTTATAAAGCTTCCTCTGATCAGCAAAGATAGGACAGTCTTCCATG